CCCGCCCCCCCCCCTGCCACTCCAGCACCAGCTGCAGTTGCATGCGAATCTGCACCTGTAAGTGCCCCAAAAGAAGAGAAACCAGCAGAGAAACCACCTGAGGCACCAGCTGCTATCAGCCCTACATCAACAGACAGGTAAGAACAGCCACCTGGAAATGGTTTGTTGAAAAATTCCATGTCACATTGGCCATTACCTTTTCTCTAGCTTTGCTTGTCTATTACCCTTTGTCACCAGAGTGGGATGTAGAAGGAAAATATGGTTAACCTCATGTTTGTTTTTCCTGTTATTGCACTTCCTTTTGTATGGGCATCTGGCTTGCAGGGGGGTTCAATACATGAGTTTTTCCTACAGGGCTGGAAATCCAAGCAGTGCTTGATCTGTTTCTGTCAGTCTTCTGTGACCTAGGGCATGTCACAGAATTGCTGAGAGTCACTTTTTACCTCTGAGCTGAGCGAACTTTCCTGCCTCTCAAGGTATTGTTATCTTTACTGAACCAATGTTTGTAAAGCCATTAGACTTAGGGGTTACCTTCCTGAAGTGAAAAAACAAACTCAGGAATGAAGCATTTTGAATCCTCTTAGTTATGTTTATTAACACTATATTTGATAACATTTTTGCTCCAGTCATCATCTTGCTTAATTTCTGGAAATAAATTAGTCTGTTAAGAATAGTTTCTTCTTACCTTTGCTGAAGAGGCTGTGAAAGGCTTTAACTTGCTTTTGGGAGAATAAAGGGGGCTAGGGTGGCATGGATGCCCAAGGTGAATGGTTAACAGCCCAGAGGTTGTAAGTTTGAGGTCATAGCAGCAGCTCTAAGACACAGCTCTGTCAGATTCCAGTGAACCTGCAAATTCTGCTGAAGACCTTGTCACAAGGACACAAGAAGGAACGGAGAATGAAAACAAGGCTGCATCTTATCCTAAAGTGTCCCAAAACTGCTAAGCAGCCCTACTGCTGCTGCTGCTACTGCTACTACTACTACTAAAACTTTATCATTTTGTAGCAAACTTGGGAATTTGTAAATTCCCATTAATTTTGTGGGAATTTGGGTGTGTGTGGTTTTTTCAAGCCAAGCAAAGCTGCATTTGACTTTTCAGTAGTGGGAACTGAGGCTGAATCTTTATTCTGTTCACTCTTAAGGTCTTTAACATATTCAGGAATGTTGCAAATGAACAAAAGATAGAGCTTGTAATGCAGTCAACTATAATTTCACATCCCTGGCAGTGCTTCATACTATACATGAACAGACTTATACACATATTTACATTTAATTTACTTAGGCAAGCATGTAGTGGAATGTAAAACCCCATCAAGGGGTGGCTTGCAGTGATGAAAGCTTACAAGGCTGAGATGGGTAAAGAATTGGATGAGTGAGGGAGGAATGCCTTGCATAGGCTTCATATTAAAAAAGAGAGAGGGAGAAAGTCTAAAGAGTAACTTAATTATGTCAGTGGTCATATCCAAAAAACCTGGTTTGAACCCTTTTACAACTGAATGCAAGTTTTTTGATAAAATTACATCCCCTTTGTGCCCATGTTTTAGCTCTTCCTTCCTTTCACTGTAGTCAAAAGAGACTGTCACCCTGGGGAGATTAATGATACCCTTCCACTCGGGGAGAAGTAAGAGTCTTAACACCATAAGGGAGAAGAGAGGAAAGGAGAGGTAAACTTTTAAGTGTTGACATGCCCTAGGTCATAGTAGGGTACAGGTCCTGTTTCTCTCTTCTTGATGTGGTTGTGGAGATACTACAGAAAGGAGCCAACCAGAAGCTCCAGCCAGTAAGAACTGAAGTAACCAAAGCAGCGACCTCTGAATCCAATTCTTTGCCTTGTTCAGCTCTGTTTGCTCCCAGCCTTCCTCCTCTCTTCATTGAAAACCTGCCTCTTTCACCTATCCTGCTGTGCTCATCTTACTACGTCCTACATTTCCACCCCCCAAATGCATGCATCTAGAGAAATTAAAGCACTAACATGACATTTGCTGCCATTGCACTGTTCACACAGTTTGTTATGAGTGAAATAGTGATGCCCTTTCTTTTCACCCATATTGGACTAGACTGGAAAAAGAGTGGATTAAGTATTAGTCTTGGTATAAATGTCCAACTGTGCATGGAAAACCAGAGAAATTTAGTGACAAATGGAATAACCTTTCAATACTGCTTTCTACAAGCCCATTTGTTCATGGTGATATAACAGCCCTTTGCTGGGTGCAGTGTATTTCCTTGGTATGGGCTAGGAAAAGCAGCTTTCTCTCTGTTTCTCTTTTTATACTCGTTCGATTTTTTTTTTTTTTTTTTTTTTTTTTTTTTTTTTATTTTTTT